ATAAATAAGGACAATATAGTTAAATCCAAAGAGAAATGAACTAATTTTTTTTTCAAAAGCTTACTTCTATTTTCTTAAAAATAAAACAGATTTTTTAAATGTTGCTCTGCTAGCAGAACCAAGAATCCCACCCCAGCATGAGCAAAAAGCACCTGTTTTTGCTAACCCTCCTCCCATTCTCCTAGAGGGTCTGATGGCTCCTCCATATTTACACAGAGCTGATCCGGTCTAACTTGCAGGGAAAGACAGCCAAGAGACAGCAATCAGCTAAAAGCAGCTTCTCACTCTGTAAGAGGACATGACCCTGTGTCAGGAGGAGCGTCTGCAGCCTCTATCTTCTTGCTAAACTTCAGTACCTGCTTTCACACTCCTGTCACTTCTCTTTACTAAGGCCCTTATAAATACTGTACCACTTCTAAAATGCAGAAACTTCAAATGTCTCAGAAGTCTAAAAACTGTTTTTAGTTTATTACTAAATAAGTAATAAACTGGAGCCTGCTCATTTATTTTTAGTAGTTGATCCATCTCAGTTAATCAGCACAGCTCTGGTACAGCAAACACCATCCACATCACCTCCAAGCACCACACAACAGATATCTCTGAAGCGACAGAGGAAACCAGCACCCCACCTATCCAAATGGCACAACCTGCTGAAACACAACAGTCAAGAGTTACTATCTAACTGTATTTCTCCAATTTTTAATTAAAAATCTTCTTTGAAATAAAGTTTGCATTTCATTAATTTAAAAAAAAAAAGGAGATTGCCTAAGTTACTACCTGATTTTTTAAATATACCACACATATAATTTTTGTCTAATGAATTTTCAGCTATATTCTATCTGTGGTAGATCTCACTATCTGTTTTCGTATCTATTTCCATGGTTGTGTGTACTCTGCAGACACTATCTTAGATGAGTTGAGGAAAACTGGATCAAGTTTCTTCAGTCTAGATTAAAAACACACCTGTATGGCATTTAATTTTGCATCTGTACTTTGGCATGACTGTAAGAGAGAAGCAACACTTGAGAATTCGGGGATCTGCCAAGAGTCTCAGCATGTTCACCACACTGTCTGTTCCACTGAATAATCAATAGCAGTTACATATCACCATATTAATACTTGTTAATGAGATCAGGACCAAAACCAGTACAACAAATCTACAGAGTGAAAAAGCCTCTAAGCTTTTTTCTACTTTGTTTCTACAACTGTGATCAAATACTGGCTATACCAGCATGCCTGGTAACAGTAACAGACGTTTTTCTTAGCATGAGTATTTCTAAAACTTTACTGACACCAGGGTTTTGTCCATAGCTGCATTAATTTAAAATGCAATAGGCTGCTATTCTCTAATCAAGATTTATTCCTCTGCACCTGAATTCTTAAAATTTACAATACTCTATTAAAGCTTAAAAACATACACTGACAGGCCACCTCACTGCACACAAAATTATTATTTGTGCTGGGTTTAAAATATGAACTCACTTCATTAAAGGTGAGAAACAAATTAATTTGTTGTGTCACATATATTTAATGGAATATAAAAATATGTATTTCATATTTCAATGCACCTCCAATTTACTCATGTCATTAGCATTTATGAAACAATTAAGAATCCTTACGATGGGGGAAAAAAGATTATTCCAAGAAAAAAAAACAAACCCAAAACAAACAAACAAAAAAACAACCAGAAACCAAACAAACAAAAACACCAACCAACCAAACAAAAACCAAAACAACAACAAAAAAACAAACACCAAACTTAACACTTGGAAGAATTACTTTACCCACCACTGAATGGAGCAACGGTTTAATTGGCAAGACACTGATGACTACATTACTATGAGAAAACTAATGGGCCTGATTAATTTACAAGAAAAATTTAAATTGGAACTAGCTTAAACTGAAAAAAGCCTAAAGATTCCTGCACCAACATTCATAAGTTTGCAAAGCAAAACAAACAGAAAAGTAATTTTTCGAAACATGTATCGGGGGCTCATGTATTAGCTTTTTCAAAAGACTGGACACTGGTGCACAGGTTAAATGATTAGTGCAGGCCTCACTTCTGTGCTTAAGGAGGAAGACACAATGCTATTTTCCACATTACAAACACCATCCCAGCTCTCTCTGAAGGTTTTCTACTTCAGGAACTAATAAGAATTCTTGACTTTCACTCCATCAAAACTATTGTTCTGCAACACTTCTGTATACCTAGTAAATACACGAATAAAGGCATATTGCCTGTAAGTTTATTATTTCATTAGAAGCAGAAAGCAGCTCTCCTGCAGAGTGCCTCAACACTCTGCCTCTTCAACACACCAGATGACCTACTCTGGGGGAGCAGTGTGTCCAGAGATGAGCACCCAGCACCTTACGCCCGGTCTGACTAAACTAACCAAAACAGGGCAGCATCCGGTTGCACAGTTTTCAGCTATCTAAAAACTTCGAACACCTCTAATAAATCCGCACCAGCAATCCTCCTTCCTCAAAACACAGTGGGGATGGGGGGTTGGGAATACCCGCGTCTTAGAAACCATCAGTCTCTTGATACAAACAGAAAATATTTTTCTAGAACAATCGCTTTGGATTCAAAGTTGCCTTGGTTTGGATTTCAAACCTGCGGCAAGTAAGTTGATACAGTACCTGTCTCCATGAGTCTGGAAGCAGCTTTTATGCTCAAGGAGCATGAAAAATGCAGATACTCCATGTAGTTTTACTGCTGCTCAAGACCACAACCAGCAAACAAAGCTATCTGGGTATCACTTTTTGAGTCGTTCCTATTATAGTTTCTACTATAACAGGAAAGCCATGAGCGCTGCAAAGGATTAACATACCAACAGCAACACAAGGCATAAGAAACAAAGGCTGGAAAAGAAGTAGACGTCACTGACCTCGTCTCTCTTTACCTAATAGAAGATGCGAGGTGACACATAAGAGAACAAACACTTTCCTTACGCTTCCAGATTGCTAGCCAGAAAACTAAAGAAAAGAGAGGAAGAGGAGATAACAAATACCCTTTTCACTGTGGTAAGAAGGCAAAGGTTGAAGTTTTAAATTTATCATATATTCAGTAGTAAAGATGTAATAACAAGGATCATCCAGACAATCAAGGACTAACCCTGCTGTTGGTTTCAGGAAAATATAGCAAAAAAGAGTTTGTGTATCATTGTATCACAACAGCAATTAGAAATGTCACCTGGTAGAAGTAGGAGGCAAATACAATAGCTAATGTTGTAATGACAGAACAACAGCAATAAGAGCTAACATTATAGTGAATCTGTATCTGTTTCATGGCCTATATAAAAATATTTGCTAATTACAGCCTTGCTCTTCGTGGTACAGGTGTCTTCTATGGCTACATTTATTCACTGTTCCCAAAAGTGACATCTTTTGTCAAAGTCGTAAGAAGAAAGTCAATTACAAAGACAAAGCGATCTGCTTAACTCCTTAAACTGACATTGGTGAGATAGAGGATTTCAATTTCCAGAGTTGTGAAATCAGGCAACAACATTACTTTACTTCAGAGGTTAAAATCCTAAAAATTAAAACACAGTGCCATTAACATCATCTATATGGTGCTGACTGCTTCAGATTCCTAAAAAGCAGTGGTAAAACAAGTACTTTCAAACAGAAATTCTTCATAATCTCCTACCCAGTGAGCCCTTTCAAATTCCTCCATATTAAGTTCCCAGTCCAAACTCCCGATGATACAAACCACGCGTGGTTAGGCCATGAAAATTTGTTTTTACAAAGGCCAATACCGTGTTTCATAAAAGCAAGTCTAATTCTCCCACGTTGAGCGTCTAGAACAGTAGCAGTATGTTCCTCAGAAACAAAAATTGCTTCACGGGAAGGAGAAGAAACATTGTTCAAGCTAGAAACGTTTTAAATTCTTCCCGACGTTAAGTCACCATTCAACTTTTAAAGTAACAAAAGGTTTCACTTCGTGTAACAAAAACAAGGCAAATCCGAGTTAAATGCTGCACGGAATTCACGGAATAACCCTGACGCACGCAGAGGGACACATTCACTGCAAAAAAACAACCGTGGGTGATGTTAACATGGGAACTAGAGCCGAGAGGCACTCACGAATAGCCAGTCGCAGGTCAGACCTGAATTACAAATCTGAATCCCGATCTGACAACCTGATCTGAGGTGGGCCACAGCGCCTACCCTGCCACCGAGGGGTAGCTGTTAGCCTGGGCACATTTTTAATTAAAAAACAGGACGAACTCCAGTAATTTTCTTCCCAAAACACCCAGGGATGCGCTTCACTGAACAGTCAGTACAAAAGGTGTAATTTTACCCTACAAAATGTAATTTTACCTTCATATCCTTTCTGCCATCGACCGGGGCCATAGCGCACTGCGCTCCTCGAGAACACCCCCGGCCTCAGCTCTACTAAAGTCGCAAGTCGGGGACGGAGAGAAAAAAGAACCAGTCCGCGTCCCCTCCGCAGCCCAGGGTGCCCGCCCGCCGGTCCCCGTGCGGGGCGGCGGCGCTCCCGCTCTCGCCCGGGAAACTTTCCGGTTGCGCCGCGCTCCGGCCGGGAGGCGCTGCCCGCCTTCCTCCGCCGCTGCCCCCGCGGTCGCCGGATACGCCGTCTCCATTCTCCAGAGTCCCACAGGGGGTGGGGTGGGGGGGTATCCCGGCCCGGCGCTGCCCCCCGGCCGAGCGGCGGGCGGCACAAAGCAGCGGCTGTCACACACACACACAGGAGCAGCAACTCGGGAGGATGAGGAGGAGCCGCCCCCGAGCCCCCCCCGCAGCTGGACGTGGCACACAAACACCTCCTCCCGCTCCGGGCCCCCCGTGACGCCCCGGCAGGTACCGGCCCCCCCGTCCGCGAGGTGGCCGCGGAGCCTCGGCCGCCCAGGTGACACCCGCCCTCCCCCGCTCGCGGCGTCCCTTCCCCGCGTCGCCCCCCGTGACCGCCACAAGTTTGCGGCGGGCCCCGGCCCCCGCCCCGGCCCCATCCCCGTCCCGCCCGAGGCCGCGCTCACCTCCTGCCGGCCGGCGGGGAGCGGAGCGGGGCGGGCGGTGGCGGGGAGGCTCCCAGCCCAGGCGGGCTCCGCTTCTTTGTCTCCTCGGTGGCGCCCGCTCGCTCCCCCCTCCGCTTCCCTCTGCCCTTCCCCGGGCGGATGCGGGCCGCGTCCTCCGAGAGGGGCCGGCTGGCTCCCCCCCTTCCCGTTCCTCCTCCTCCTCCTGCGCTCTTCGCCGGACGCGTCCAAGGCCCTGGCCCTCGGCAGGGGCAGCGACGGCGGCAGCTCCGCTCCCTGCCTTCCCTCTGCCTGCTGCGCCCGGCGGCGGCGGCGGCCCCTCCCCCGCGAACCGCCCGCCCCCCCGGCACAGGCACAGCCCCCGCCCTCGCCCTGCCCTTCCTGCCGCTGCCGCTGCCGGGATCGCGCGGGAGGAGCTCCCCGGGTTCTCCCTCGCGCGGCGGGAGGGCCGCTGCTCCCCGCCCCACTGCAGGAAGGACGGGTAGGGACGGCCCGGGCGGCTCCTTCCCCTCTGCGGCAGGACCACTCCGGGACCGCGGGGCGGGGCAAAGGGGGCCCTGCCCGGCAGAAGCGCCCTGCCACCTCCTCTGTCCCTTCACGGTCCCCTTCCAGCCGCGTGAGACCCGGCACTCCCGGGGAAGCTGCCCCGCTGGGAGCGGAAGCGCCCACGGAAAGTACTGGCGAGCGCTTGAAGAACTGGGGATGGGGAGGCGCGCGCGCCCCTGGCCGGGCCGGGGGGAGCGCCCCGGGGCGGGGCCGCGCCAGGGATGGCCCCCGAGCTGCCACGGACCAGGGCGCGGAGCCGCTGCCGCCGGGGAATTTCCAGCCGTGGTATCGGGGCGCCTCCACCGCCCCTCGGCCGCGGGGCGCCCGCAACCCCCGCTGTTCCCGGCTCCTCTCTCCGTTCCCGCCCCGGGACGAAGTTTCAGCCTCAGCGCCCCGCGTATCAACGGGGTCGGTCAGTGGTTGGTAATCCGGGTGCTCGGTATGTACCTGCTCAGGTGCTGTGCCCCCATGAAAGGGCGGCGGGGACGGCAGCCACTCCAAGCCACAGAATCACAGAATATCCTGAGTTGGAAGGGACCCACAAGGATCATCGAGTCCAACTTTTAGCCCAGCACGGGACCATCTTAAAGAGTACATACCATGTGCCTGAGAGCGTTGTCCAAATGTTACTTGAACTCTTATCAGGCTTGGTGCTGTGACCACTTCCCTGGGGAGCCTCTTCCTGTGCCCAACCACCCTCTGGGTGGAGAACTTTTTTCTACTATCTAACCTAAACCATCCCTGACACAACTTGAGGTCATTCCCTCGGGTAAGCAACCCTTTTCTTCCAAAATAGAGCCTCATACCTGGGCTTATGGCTGGTCCAGGCAGCCCCCTGCACCCCTCCACGAATGGATAAACATGGCAGGCAGGAGACCCCATGGTCGCCCTAGTCTCCAGTTGAATGGCCACTGTGCCAGCCAAGCCATTGGCCTTGGGCCTGCCGGCCCCCGTGCCTTCCCCAGGGCACACTGTCCCCTCCAGGAGTGTCCCTGGGCTGTGGGAAAAGGGAAGGATCATCCCTCTGGAGTAACCTGGAGAGTTCGAATTATAAACCAGTGCTGTGGGGGTGGTGACGGGGAAACTGCTCAGAAACGTTGTAAAACCATTAACCCTTCACAGCCTGGCAGCTTCCCGGAAGAGTAGGCTGGCACGTTACCCATATTGCTTTAGCCTCTCCTCAGGAGACATTTCCTGGCTTGGGTGCCAAGGCTAAGCAACACCACCTTTTCCAAATCCAAAATAAAGTCAGCAGCCCCACTGTCTTATTTTCTCTGACCAAGCCAAAGCTATCAGGGAGATCTTGGGACAAAGACTTTATACTCTCTAAATATGATGAGTAAAAAATGTGTGCTTGGCAATCTTTCCATGCTCCTGCTTAAAATAGCTCAAATAACTCCTCAAATAACTCCTCAAATAAAATCCTCAAATAACTCCCTCTTCCCTATGTTAACTTTTACAAATTCTTGCAGCATTTAAATGATGGTTTGGGAAGCCCCAAGCACCTTACACATGCCTGTGAGATAAACCTGAAAGGGAAATGCGGCCACTTTTACTTCCAAAAAAGACTTGCATGTACCTCAAGGAGGAACAGAAAGCCCCTTTCCTGTCTTTTTTGTGCATGCATTTGACTTTGACTGAAAGAGGTGTTAATCTTCCTTTCGAAACAATAATCTGACCATGATTTTTTAGAGCTGGAAAATATCTGGGGTCCCTGCTGGCTCTGCCTCACAGCATGGTCAGGCCTCACTCCAGCCTGCAGAGGCTTAGGCTGAATTTAAATGGAATCGGTCATCCAAGGACTTTCAGATAAAAGTCTCTGTTGTTTCTGGAACATAATGCACTGTGGGAGTGATAAAGGAGAGGTGAATTGTCCCGCTCTCCTTTGCATTCATAATACACAGATTTCAGTCTCAGTTTTGTCCCTTCTTACCACACCCTTGCAGACAGTAAACCCTCCACTTTGTTGTTTTCCATACAGTGCTGTTGAGTTGAGGATGTCCAAGGAAAGGTGACATGAACCCTGCAAGGTTCCCAGGCTGTTAGACCTCCAAAAGTGTTTGAAACCATAAGCCACTGAGTGAGCAGTAGATCTCAAAGCTTTCTAGATATCTGAAAAAAAGTGATAAAGCGCACCTAACTTCATCAGATTAATGCTAATAGGATTTACAGAAGAAGAATGTTTCAGGGAGGGATTTGGATTAATACATTGTCTTCAGGCAAAGGACTAATTTAAGGACTCTGAAGCATACTGTTGTTAAATATATATATGTTATATGTAAATATAATATTACAAAGCAATCCATTAAAGCTTTTTTTTTACACACTGTGGCTTATGATGAGCAGAAGACACCACAGAAAGGGTTTCCAAGAGTTTGTATGTTGAAAGATATTTTAACTGCCTATCTGCTGAACACATCCTTCCCAGCAAAAGTGACCAACATGTTGCCCTGAATAGTATTTCAAAACACTGAGCCTACTGAAATATTAATGTATGGCTTTTGAAATGTCATAATTAGCTGTTATCTCTGGAATAACTTATTAAGGAGAGCTGGCTGCTTGTGATTTGAGTGAGAATTACATTCTAAATATGAGAAGATGATAAATTTGGGGGAATCTGTACAGAAGTGAAAGCATTACATGATGTGGCAGGCACACTGTTTTGTATAAAGAAAGTAAATATGCAAAGCATGCACTTTTGCATATGCATAAGAGTGGTGCAGTCCTTAGAAAATATATACACAGGAGAGAAGAACAGGAATATTTTTCCCAGCCTAAGGCCATAACTGTATAACAAAAAAATAAAAGAAAAAATTGTTAAGCAATAAAAATATGCAACTGTGTCTTTGGCAGAGAAACAGCCTACCTCATACTGCTGTTTCAAACAGGGTTACTTATAAACACCAAACCCAGAGGTTGTGTGACAGACCTATTTTGCAATTACATAACGGCAGTCAATTCATCTTGATGTTCATATCTTGCACAAGAGGCTAAAAAAATCATATCTTTTGGCTTAAATTTCTTTATTTTTGTTTGCCTTTCTTTTTATATGACTACCCATTTTCTGACCCCCCCATATGATGCTGCTTGTGCTTTGCCACCCACCTGGCAGAACGGTGTCTTCCACAGGATGGACACATGACCATGATCTCTAGCACAGATTCCAGCCTTACAGACCCAAACCACACTAATGTATTTGCACGTGTTGTGGCAAGATGACTACCACCTCCTGGATGCAGCTCCATCCACCCTCTGCACAAATACCTGATCTTTTCTCCAGATGCTCCAGGTTTTATCACCAGCTGCTCTATCTAGAGTATGAGCTAATACCTGCTCCCATAGGACACTGGGAGACATTTTAGTAGGAATGTGAGACAGAAGGACTGGTAAGTTGTTTGTAAATCTGGAAAACACCATTGTCCAGTTCAGAGGTAGACAGTAAAGGTGTTTGGTCACTCTGTGTTAGCCCACTGGGGAGAAAATATACCTAAATCTAAATTAATATAGGTTTGACTCGATGATCTGAGAGGTCTTTTCCAACATAATTGATTTTGTCATTCTGTGATTAACCTGTTTTAAAAATCACTACTCCTGCATTTCAAAACTGCCTTTTAAAAGTATCGATATTCTAATAAATTCCATTTATAAACATGGGATTGTTAATACTGTGCCATAACAAATGGAAAGGTAAAGAAACCCTGGGTATTCCGGGGAAAAAAAGGTGATTTTTAATTCTCTCTAATCTGAAAAAAATGTTGATTTTAATAACACCTTCCAGAAAACTTCCCAGCTTACAACTCAGTTAAGCAGTGTCTGTGTTTTTTCTCTCTCAAAAAAAAATTCTCCTTCTCAAAGGATTTACATCACTACACATCTAGTTTCTGCTTAAAACATGTGCTCAATTACCATGTAGATGAAGGGGAATTACATGACCACTACTAGGGAGAATAGATCCCAAATACTTAGTTACTGCTGAGTCACTTAAGTATACTTGCACTATGATTCTAATTCAGCCTGACGGTAAGGCAGCTGCTTTTCTCACTTACTGCATGGCTGCTGCATCTTCAATGACATTTATGAAAAACGTTGAGGGGAAGAACATGTCCTTAGAGCTCAAAATACATCCAAATTCTTCTATTCAATGGACCAAAGCTCCCCAAAGGTGCTGTAAAACTGCAAGCTAAATCTTTCAGCAGATTGCATTTTACTAGGACAAATTCTATCATTATCTTTTGTAGACAGTTTCTGAGATTCAAAGTATTTATGTAAGGAAAACAAACTGGTGTTTTGGGCTTTGGAAATGTCAGGGCCCTTGATTCTCCTGTTTATTTAAAAGTGGAAGTGTGCTGAGGGACATCTTTTGAACTCTGTTCAAAGGTTAAAACTGATCTTTCATACAGTTTTTAAATTCAAAATACTGCTGTTAAATGTTTTGACTCTGCTGTGTAATCTCCATTTTGCACTTAAATACCAAATTCTGTCCAGAGCTGGCTGTTCTGCACACTGCAGAGACACAGGCATTGCATCTTCCCGCCATGAGGTGCAGCCATTTCAAGGGAGGAGGAGAACTCCCTGACATGTGTCAGGGCCGTGCAAGAGTTCAGAGCCCCTGGTGCAGGATATAGCATCCCACTGCTGTGGTAGGTTACATCAGCAAAATGTAGTTGCCTGCACTGGACTTTGCTCAGGACTGCTAGCTCATACTCCCCTCTCAGGGGCAAAAAAACACGCAGGGAGAGGCAACAGAAGAGAAACAGAGGAAGTTGTCTCT